TTGAATTGGAGATAAAAATGATGGATTTTGAAATACACTAAATTGGCCTTTATTGATCAATAATTTATGCTACTATATGGAACCAATTTTGATGGAATTAAAAGCTTTTGTTATTGAAAACGTATCTAATGGAGTATCCAATTCTTTTGTGATTCCGCCACTTGTAGTTAATGGCCTTAAGGAAAACACTATTCTATTGACCAAATTTTTTGCGAGTGCTCTTCGCAATTTCTCTAACGGTATATACTTCTGAAATATTTGATGTCAATCAGCTTCTGGGTATACTCGGATATGCTGATAGGCATGCAATCATGGTTTAATCCAACTTTGTCGATGATTCTTTTTTAACTTCTGTTCTTGCTTGTTATGTAATAAATTTCTTGATTGCGATCTTTCTATTCTTTCTTTCAATTGTCGTATTCTCTTTACTGCTAAGTTCTCATTTTTAATAACCATATTGTCATTATATTCTATTGAATTTTCTTCCTATCTCCCATCAAACTAAATCCATAGTTAATTTCTAACACTCAATGCTATTGTCTATTCCCGACAGTGGTACCAAAATATAATTATCGTTTTACTTATTCTACAATTTCTTTCAGAATAAACCTTTTTAGGAGAATTCAAACACATGAAAAGACTAAGTGCATGAATTTTACTTCTTAGGGTCACACAATTAACTGTATTCCAAACCACTAAAATACTAAGAAATATTACAATATTTTCATCTAGTAACAATATTCTTTCATCAACTGATAACAACAGTGTACAACCGTGCACTCTCAAAAGACTGCTCAAAATACATAATTTCTATCTAACACTAGAAATAATAGACTTCATTCTAACCAATCTAGATTCACATAATTTTTTTAATTACAAACTTCCTCTGTCAAAACACACACAGATCTCAATAAACAACAATCTTAATCTTTTAATAACTCCTCATATAATTCAATCACTCAGTGCTCAAATTACATAATCAATAACTCATAAATCAATCTCTGATTTATTCCACAAACTTACTTCTCAATATTTAGAAACTATCTATTACTTTTCAACAACAAAGAAAAACAAAGAGGTAGCACCAAGCTTAATCCTGGCTCATGACTATCACAGTCTGATACTCAGACTAATTTCTACAACTTCTATACACTTACTCTCTATTCCTAGATTCTAATCGTAATCTTGTAATTAATCACTTTTAATAATTAAGTTAATCATCTGTCCTCCTGAACTTACTATTCTATGGACTATTAGTCTATTTTACTAATAACTTACAGAAACAAATTAATATCTATTCTACAAAGAACATCCTCCATTCGAAGTTGGTGACAATGTAATGCTTCTTCAGCGCAACATAAAAACCAATAGGCTATGTAATAAGTTGGACTACCAAAGATTGGGACCATTTGTGATTTAAAAAAAAATTAATTACGTAACTTACTGCTTAGAGTTACCTTCATCTATAAAAATTCATCCAATTTTTTATGTTTCACTTTTGAAAAGGTATAAAGAATCGAACATACGAGGTCAAAGACAACCACCACCTCATATGGTTGAAATCAATGATCATATCGAATTTGAGGTAGAAGAGGTATTGGATTCAAAGATAAGACATGAAAGGCTTGAATATCTAGTCTATTGGCATGAATATGATATCAATGATTATACATGGGAATCAGTTAGCAACCTTATGAATGTACAAATGAAGGTTCGAAGGTTCTACCAATGACATTCATTCAGACCAAAAGTGATAAAATTAAGAACAATAGCTTGATAAGATAGCTTCACCATGAAGATTCTTAGTTCTTGGCCTCATAAAAAAAAAAGATGCAACCTCTGAAGAAGTAGTTGTTATCAAATATTTAGAATAATATAAGTCATGAGTTTGAATTCATGACTATAGCTTGTTTATATTCTTTTGGTCTTATCTATTTTATATGATATAGATAGTTAAGAGATAAACACCTTGCTGGTCATATCATCTCAACCTAGTAGCTGATAGAGACAACCTTGAGATGAAGAGCTACCTAAACCATGAAGACATCAAAAGATACCTATTAATAGGTCACTAGTAATTGTGTTTGAGGTAGAACATGTCTATGAAGGACATCTAGGAGGAGTGTTTGTAAGATAATTCCATAATGAAGATATTGAAGTTCATGCTTGGTTATAAATAGAAGGCTTGAGATACTATTGATGGTTATAAGGGCCTATGAACCATTTACCTCATAAAAAAAAACTAAAATATATAGCAAATACCATGCAATAGATCTTTAACTCCTTATGCTTATACTAGCTTGCTACAACATTGCTTCTCAGAGACCTTGAAGTTAGAAGAAGAAGTGATGTCACGGTCATACAACTGAAGAAGATTCTAAAAGGTTCTAGAAGGTTTCAGAAGGTTCTTAAAAGTACCAATAAGTTCTAAGAAGGCTATTGAAGATTTTAGAAGGTTCTAGAAGATTCTAAAAGATTCTAATAGATTCTTAGAAAGTTCTAAAATGTCATAGGAGGTCCTAAAAGATTCTAGGAGGCTTTAGATGATTTAAGAAGTTGCTAAAGAAGAATCTTAGACTTGCTTTGTTCTCAAGTCTCATAGAAACTTTTCAAGAAGCTTCCTATGACCTAGTATATATAGGAGTTGAAGTTGAGGGAATCCTTAGTCACAACAATTCACTTCTTGTGGTCTAGCCATCACCCTCTTACATTCTATCCAATTGTTATTCTAATGTCAAGCTAACTCTTTTTTTTAATCTTGAATTCTTGTCTTGTATATGGTCCCTAACACTCTACAATATAAGCATAATTCTTCCTAATGATGACAAGTCTTTTCTTGCTTAGTAAGAGGTTTGAAACATATCAAATCAATTTACAAATCATTTACTTCCAAATGTATGTATTGAAAAGATGTTGGCATTGTCATTGAATTATAGTAGTATTGAGAAGCACTTATACAACTCTCATATCAAAATTTAAAAAGTCATTTGTCACACTTTTTAGCAAAGTCAATTGATTGACTTAATATTTGAAGATTAGGTAAGTTAAGCATCATTTTTTTTACTTCATATTATAATCTATAGAAAAATTGACTAACAAGTATAATATCATTCCACTTGATATTAATAAAAAGAAGTAATCCACTGTTAATCAAGAAAAGACAAAGCTCTGATATTGTAAGTACATTCTTGTGAATCTATTAAGGATAAGAACTTAATGAAAGTAAATAATCAAGTAAGACTCTCTCAAAAAAATATGACAAAACTAAAATAGAGAAGTATGTATATTAATAAAAATAAACAAACAAATAAATAAAAACTAAAAATATAAACTAAAAATATAAACTAAAAAAATTTAAAAACAAAAATGGCTATTATCAAAAAACAAAAAAATTAGAATTTCTTAAAACTAGACTAGAAATAAGAAAAGAATCGTCATGAGTAAAGAAGGCTTCACTTTTGCCTCTATATATACCATCTATCTAAGATCTATGTGGCAATATTCTATAGGACCTCCAAAAACATATTGACTTTGCATGATACATATGTTAACTTACAAGGGAAGTTTTCTATATGGATGCCACATAATTAGCTTGTTCCACAAGCTACCAAGACATGTGACATGTGGTTAGCTTATTGACCAAGTTTCTAATCTATCAATCAACTACAAATACATGTAAAATCAAAATAGCTTTTAAGAAGCTTCCAAGAAGCTTTTCTAAAAGATATTATGGAATTAATCTACTTTTACTTATTTCTACCTATTCATATTATCTTGGTAGCAATTACAATAGATATATATCAATAACAAGTAAACTTTCTTGAATTCAATAATTTTTTACAAATTTATTTTAATTTCAAATTAAACATGTGATATCTTTGAAGAAATTTTAAATTAAGATATATGCATGGGAAAAGTTTTAAAATCAACTACCAAATATATAAAATTGATGGATGAAAATCCAAGAAAAATTTAACATTCTACTTGACAATAAAATTATTTTTATCTTCTAATTTAAAAATTGATATGGTTTTTTATACCAATAAAGAAGAAATTAGAAATATTATTAATTTTAAAAAATAATTTGCAATACTTTCTCAATAAGAATAAGCAAAAACTCAATCACAATCTAATAATTTTACATTCATACATAATTAGAAGCACCACTTTTTTCCAAATACATCATTTATGTGGGGAAAATTCACCCTTGAATCCAAATTTTAAGATGGCTTCAATTAAGAATTTCTTATATGAAGTGAATCAAACAAATAACAAATATATATATATATATATATATATATATATATATATATATATATATAAAATAAAAAATAAGAAAAAAGAATTTAATCAAGCAATTATACACTTCAAAATTAATCACAATTTATTTACTAAATTTTTATCTAATAAAAAATTCAAAATTAAAATATATTCAAAAAATAATAATTTTATTTATCTTTTCAATGACATAAAAGACAATATAAATCTAAGTTATTATATTCTATTTTTTGCAAATAATTTAAAACAAAAATGAACCTTTCTAATAACTTATATCAAAATAGTATTTAGAAGAGAAATTTAATTAGATGATTTTAATTATTTTTATTTATTATAATATAATAATAATAATTTACAATATTTTCTATAGAGTATGTATAAATTAAAAATTACTATAAAATAAATTAAATTAAATTATAGAAAATATATATATTATTTCTTCCACAATGAAAATAATTAATGAAAAATTCTTGATAATAAAATATTTGTGTTTGAGAAAAAATGAATGAGTAAATTTTATGAGTTGCAAAACTTCTTTGAGGATACAAAAGTATCATGTACATTGAATGTTGTTGTGTATGACAACAAAAATAAATAAGTAAATAAATAAGTAAATTGTTTGAAGCAAGAGTGATGATTGAAAAGTGGGATTGAGAGGCCGCCCCGGAACAAACTTCAGCACACATTTATGCGAATGTGGATCGGTCTGGGCCCAATGAGGAATGGCTTTTGAGTTCCCAACCTGCCGCCCTCCAAACTGCCCAGCCTCCAACCTGCCCGCCCCCTGGTTCCCCAATGTTCCCTCTCTCCGTTCCCAGAAATCCGATCAGCGGTTGAAATTGTATCTGAGCGGAAACTGCGATCCGACGGCTCACGATGGCGGGGCAAGTGGATTGCGATGCCCTTACAATATCCTAGCCTCAGTCACTTTCAAATTGCACAATTCAGATCAAGTTTAGGAGAAATTGGATCCAGTATAGGGGAAATTTTTGGAGCTCCTCCAGCTCATTTCCTCCTTCCACGAAAACGGATCGGTTTTACTTCAATGGTCACCAGTTGCAACCTATCCATCACTGTAAATACCGGTTAAATTCTTGCAATATCAAAATTTCACCGGCAGATTTCCTCCGAATTGAAATTGGCGCCGGCTAAATATGAAATATACAGCATTGATTCATTGCGGAAGAATTCTCAGTTCACAATGATTGATTGATTGCCGGTAGCTTTTGCAGTAATTACAGTAATTTCATCGATGCGCTCTTCTCGGTTGTGTTCTGTTGATTCCAGCGACGCTGATTACCGTAGCTGAGGGGTTTTCCAGGCTTGCGACTGTTCTTGATTGAATGGTGTTAGGTATATTTTTGTTTCTACTTATCGGTTTCTGTAAAGTTTACGTTATTGATACGCATCATTCTCCGAAAAAATACACCGGTGTATACCCTGACCACCCCGGGTATGGACTTCGCCCTGACCATGTATAAACCACTGTATTTTATCTGATGGCAGCTGAAATCCGCCAAGTCTTGCCAGGAGGCGGTTATACATCCTCACATTTTTATCGTGCACCGGTTGATTATTGCCGCTGAAATAGGAATTGAGCGGCGCATTGCAAGCTCTGAATTCCGACTGTCGAATTCAAATTCACTCCCCATGCGCAAGGTCTCGGAATTTTTCAAAGCGCATTTCGCTCCTCCCGGAGTCATGTCAGTCACTTTCGAGGATCTTCGCAGAACGGCAAAATCTATCGTTCACCTAGCTTCCTCAGAAACCAGTGTTGAGAAATTCCCCTCCGCGAATCAATGCTCGCCAGTGTGCGCTTCTTGCAAAGAAAGCCTCGGAAACTTTGCTTGTCGTTGGCGAGTTTGAGGGCATCATCCGCCAGCAAGAGCGTCTCTTGGAAGGATCCGAACGAAGCAGCATTACTCCTTACTGGAATGTAGTAGCCACAGAGCTTCACCAGGTGCTGAAAGCTGCGGAGTCTCACACGAGAGATTGCTGCTGCAGCGGTGGCAATTGGTTGAAATTAGAGATCACACAAGGCAACTTGAAAGAAACGTTTGCTAGGCTTCTGAGCGAGTTGGAGTGGCACACGTGGGTGTTGTGTAGCCCCTGGGACGAAACAGGGAACATTTCCAATAAGAAAGAAAAATGCGATGGAAATCTAAGGTTCACCGACAATTTCCTTCTGTCAGCAGCAGCAAAGCAGGACCGATAATTTCTACGAGAGCCTCTCACAAGCTGTCACGTTTGTGATCCGGAGGTATGTAAGCCAAACTTGCAATATTATCTAGCAGGCAAGTTACTCGAGAAACTGGATGCCGAAAACCGAGACAGTTCAGAACTAGATAGAGGCAACGTCACTGAGTAGAAGCCACACTTTCTGTGGGTAGCTTCTGGAGATCTTCCCACAGGACGAAGATTGGGAAGTGGCGCTTTTGCTCTTGTACGAGAGACAGAATGGTTGGGTCAACGATTTGCGCAGAAAGCCTTCTTCGATTCCAGTGTGGATAAAGATTTCAAGGACGAGATCGCTGCTGTCATTGGACTTCACCATCCCAACATCGTCCACGTGGATTGTTGCTCAGAAGCCGGGCCGGAGGACACGGAATTGGAACAGCACGATTTGTCGATCGTCATGGAACTCATGTACAAGAGTTTGTACACATTGCTGCACAGAGACTTGAGGAAACCCCCGTTCTCTATTGTACAAGCCGCCGACCTTATACTGCAAATCGCCGAAGGTTTGAGGTACCTCCACAGCAGAAACTTAATTCACCGTGGCCTCAAGGCATTGAATATTCTAGTCCAATTCGCCGAATGAGATCCTCAAACCGAAAGGAATAGAGCGAAAATTATCACCGAAACGACTCCGTTCGTTGCCAAAATTGCTGACTTTGGGTTGTCGAAGGTGAAAAATGCAAGCACAATGAGGGGCCATTTGACACTGAACTTGGACACCACACGATGGATGGCTCCGGAGGCTCCCCATTCGACTTCGTTGGATGGAGCACCGCGGATCGCTTCCACCCAAAGAAACTTGATGTGTACAGCTTCGCCATCGTCTGGTACGAAATTCTCACTGGAGACGAACCATTCGCAGATGTGCTCAAGACGGAGGTCCTCGCTCGAGTCAAGGCTGGGCTGCGGGCGAATCTGCCAGACGGAGTACCTGGACGACTAGCCGTTCTTATGCAAGAATGTTGGAACGGGGACCCTTTGCTACGCCCGAACTTCGCTGCAATCTGCACGGAGCTCAGATTCATCAAAGGCCTTCTCTTGCACGGTATTTTCACTCATTTGCCTCGCTTCTAGCTCTAAAGTAACTACACGTACTTCTGACACTCAAAGAATTGAGTATGTTTCTTATTGCCAGAGTATCAAAAAGAAATCTTGTCAGCAATTACAAGGATGTTCTAATGCACCAGAGCATGCACTATTTGGACACTTTATGCAAAAGTTGTAAGGATTAAAAGTTTTTAGGAAGATGACCTATAACGGCCACTACTGAGTTCTGATGTTAATTCTCTGTACATTATCAAATTCAATATGTAATCATCAATGATTGTCCTTGTGTCCGTGTAAGAATCATGTCTGAATTAGACATAGCTACCTTATCCAATAATCTTGTACTTTTTTTGGACTAAGTTGTGTATTTAATCCCCGTAGTGACGAAATTTAAAATAGTAAGTCCTCTTTGAAAGTTCACACCCCATTATTGTAACTTCCAGAACATATTTTTAGTCTTAAAGATGAAAGGTTTATGTTCTTCTTTGTATTGGTGTACCTCACAACCTTGAAACATCCTAAATGATTCATTTCAACAAGTATAGATATGGAAGGGGCTGCTTGTGGCCATTGAGGCACTTGGTGGTTTACCAGCATGACTGCCATGGGTTGTGATTACTTTTGTAGTTTTGATGTTGTTTTCCCTCTAATACCATGATATGTGACTGTGACATATCAGGTTAGCTTCACCAATTACTGAGGTCCAAAGTGTATGAATCTGTAATAATAAGGAAGTTGTATATTTTTCTAATGGCTCCCATTGAAATTGGCAGGTCACAACTTTGCAAATGACATTTGCCAACTTCCAGAACATATTTGTAGTGTTCAAAACTGTAGGCCCGGATTTCTTATTTCTTTAATGTCTGAACAGACTTCCTCAACATCTGAGTTTGTTTTTGATCATATTGTATGCTGTATTCTGTACAGATCAACATTGATGGGTCTTTTGAATACCTTGCACAAATCCAAGGATCTGTCAGCACATCAGTAAATTTACCAAGTCTAACTGTTGTGCAAACCTTAATGTTTCACACAAATAATAATACCTATGGTCATTTTGGAAGAGTCCAGGAGATGGGGATTAGTGAGACTAAGTTCAAGAGTGACTATGGCAGGATTGTGGGTTATTACAGCCAGAAAATAAGCATGGCTTGGTCAGATACCTGGTACCATTACAAGTCCTCCATATTTTTTTAATTTGAAGATGAATTACAAATGTATTTGGTGAAATACCCTAATCAGCACTTGAAATATGTTCCAATCTTTAATTTGACATTTTATTGTTGAAGATCTCGAGATTGTCTTTCCACAACAGTTTAGAACGCTCCATTTGGAGCTACAGAGAATTAGTAATGAATTTTAGAAATTTGGCTGAATTGTGGGAAATTGGATTTGATGGAGGAATTAAATCATATTCATCAAAAAAACTGAATTGTTGGTGAATTTAGAATCCAAATTAGATTGGACTTGAATACAAAAGAAAATTCATATTTTAACTCAATTAATTGATTTTCAATGGAAACAAATCCATGTAGGGTTGGGGTTGTGATGGAAGGAATGTGGCATGAAATAAGTCTTTCATCCTTCTTTTAATGATGAGAGAACAATAGCTGGGCAAAGAAGTCAGGCTCAATTAATGTGATTTGGACGTGTAGCTTGTTTTTCATTGCAAAGCCAAGTACCTTATTTCTTTTTGATTGAATCTGAAACAATCCTTAGAATTTGAATTTTTGTTTTGTGATATATATATATATATATAGAGAGTCTTGTTATTCTTGTAGCTGCTAATATGTCAGGTGGTGACATCTTGGATTAAAAGTGGATATGTGTATATCAAATTTAGAAGAGACCTAGCTACTTGAGAGAAAATAATGAATCTAAGATTGAATCACTTAAGACATCAATTCAACTTAAAAATTGTCTTGTATGGTAGCATAGTGATTAATCACCATTAAGGTGTTTGCTCCACCTCTTGTCTTTTGTTGTGTACTTCTAGCATGAGAAGAGTGGGAGAAACATAATTAAAGATTAAAATCCTTTTTTATATCATTAATAATCATGTAGAATCCTATGAGTCGTATTAGGATGTATTTTAATTATTGACTTTGATTGGATTAACTTCTAATATAAATAGATTGGTTAAATGCATTTTTTCACTACATCTAAACATCATACTTTAACTTCTCCATTAAAAGTGATCTGAAAACTTTAAAAAAGAAAACTACAACTTCATGCATTCCTCAAATAGGAAATTCTATAGAACCTCAAAATCCTTTATTTCCATTGAAAACTCTACCAATAAGTATTTTTGAAGCAGTTGTAGAAGAATCTAGACCAGTAGCAAGGTCACAACCTTCATTTCCAGTGAATGGTTCTTTTTATTCTCAGAGAACAAATAACTCATTTCATTCATCTTTTCAAATATTTTTTGGACGAATTAATCTTGGGTTTGGACAATTGGATCTTATTCTTATAAATCCTTTGATTCAACCAAGAAATTTACCTATTGTAATAATGCCTTTAAATCTTCTTGTTTTTCAAGGTATTTGGAATGAATACCTTCTAGTCTATGTGAAAAGGTCCATAGAACTTATAATCACTTGTTTGAAAATAAATTTAGAGTATTACTTAATAAGGTTTCAAGCAACTTTTAAGAGATACATCTTGTGAGTAAAATAGGAATCATCAACCAAATGAGAATCTTGATAAAGTCAAAAATTGCTGCTAGAAAGATTAAACAAATGCAAAATGAACATGACCAGATGTGTAGAATACTTAAATAATAACCACGTTGTGTAAACAATATAGTTGGCATATTACAAATATTTTTGCTTAACATCTTAACATAACATTATTTATGCTGAATCTATGTTATATTGGAAGTTTATAAAACAATCCAAGCTTTTAATAGATTGATAAATATAAATTGGCTTAAAAAAAAGAAAAACAAAGTTAGCAAACTATTGGATTTTTTCTGGTCTCCAAAAAACTTATTAAGTAATTATTGTTAATTGTGTATTATTTTCACTATTCTACCACTTCACATCCATACAGACAAGTTTTGTAAGAAATATAATTATTTTATTGATTTATAATCAAAAAAATATATACAAGCAAGAATTAGAATTAACTTACTTCCTCTTTTTCAATGCGTGGTTGCAGCTGAAAAACTAACATAAAAATAGTCACCATAAGATATAAGATTTCTGCATAAAAAAATTTAAAGTATATATATACATATATTCAAAAAGAGTTTAGTATTCAATGATACGATTAAATATATATATATATATATATATATAGTACTTTTTAATTTGGATTTCATATCAACATTTACTTTTATAAAGTTTTACATTAGAAATAAAAGAATAAAATTGAACTTTATAAGTTAGACCAAGTTTTTTTTTACAAACCATTCTTTTAAATAAGAAAAATATTCTCCTAAGATTGTTAAATGTGAACTCTTCTTCCTCCAAAACTATAAAATTAATATATTCACAATAAACTTCAATTACAAATGCTTTTATAGAATTTGAATTTGTTGGACAGCTTGCAAAGTGAACAACATGGTTCTTTCTTATTCCAATTTCTACAATTCTATATGACAACTTGTGTAGTTTAGATCACCAAATTATTGAGTAAAGGAAAAAATATCATTGTAGATTTCAGAGAATTCTATGGGCTTGTGCAAATCTAGTCATTGAAAATAATCATATGCAATATATAATTTTATATATATACAAATGTTTCTCATAGATTTTGTTTCAGCTCCTGCCAAATAAAGACAGTAGATGATATAAATCTCCCTCTTCATTTGCCAAATTTCTTAAATCTTGTAAAACATTTGTATATATATATATATAGTATGATGTGTGTACACGAGGATTGTGGTTGTTCTTGTGGAGAGGACAGTGATGGACATCTGGTGCGAGGTGTCCAGTCAACTCTCCTTTCTAGACGTGAAGAGAGTGTTCATTTCTGTAAAATCTACCCACTTTAGATAGTATGAAAGCAGTCAGCTGTGAACAGTCAACGTTTAGCTTTTGTTGGAAAAAAGCTGTATAGACTTCCAATAAAATACAAAAATGGTTCATTAGAAGAAGCTGAACAATTATGTACACTAATGATCAACTCTAAAATGAACTCGAACATAGCATATCATGTGTTCATTCAATACTTCATGATGGGCTTGATCCTCGTTCTGTACTCAATACCTTGGTACATCAAATTTTTCAGCGTCTGCATGTGCAGGAAGCTAGTTGGTGCAGACTTAAAGCAGCCGTCGAATGTAAAAATCTACAGCAGGCCAACGTTGTCCTTCGTGACGAAGACGTTCCACTGGAAGATGAAGAGGTTGCCCTGGTTGGGGCAGTTGTCAGCCAACACGAAGCCATGAGCACCTCGAAAGTGTCCCGTGCCGCCAAGAATAATGAGCTCGTAAGGTGTAGCAGCCCCACCAACATTGCCACTGAAGGTCAAACTGGAGCCCTCGTATTTCCCATCGGTGAAAGTGATTTTAGAGAATAGCTGCAAGCCGTCAGCACTGTCTTTGTCAGTGATGCATCCCCATCCTCGCTCCCGAGCTATTAGCTTGCTGTCCGTGCCCTCACCCTCTCGCACCTCGTTGTCGAAGACGAGGATGGACCCCCACTGGAGAGGAGCTGTGTTTTCGGGCAGGCTTGCTACCTTCAGAGTAGCAGTCATGTCTGCGGATCTGATCTCGTGGATATAGAACACCATCTTTTCTTTCACCTTTCGCTCATCTACCACCGAGACGAGCTCCTTCAGGCTAGCTCTTGTGATTATTGATTTGTTGCGCTTGGTGGGCTCGGCGGACTGCCACCCCGAGATGGATGCCTGAGCTCTGGCCGGTTCAAGGCATGATCGGTAGCTGCGAAGTGACAGAGAGGAACGGATGGAGGACCCGTTGAAAAAGTCCTGGCGGCTAGTTATGATTGCTGTCAATATCGACTGGCTAACCTGAGAAAGTGGTGTGGTCGTCATTGTGGTACCCTCGCCGAAATGCCAAAACCCTTTCACCTGTTACAATTTATGCAAAACACATTTCCAAGACATGTCTTAGAGCAATACCGATGGTAACTTTCAGAAATCTGGGCCGATTCATGGGATTTGATCGACGAAATCAATGGAAGCCTGTGTACTCCCTTCTGCTAATCATTCAAACTCTAGCAAGCAGTTTCTTGAGTGTTTAATGGAATGAAATGAAATTCCCTATCTCACAAGACTAAACAACCACCAGCGAGGAAGTTTCAAAAACGTAAACACATTCTTAACCACAGCAGTTATTCGAGCTCTGTTGGTCTCACAAGCAGCTGAGTTCATTACATTCCTCTCGGCTGCTGATGCAATGGCTCGATATACATCACACAGGCAGCTAGTACCCAAAACTCAAAATGTAAGTCGCTACATCATCCACAATCCTACTGGTACATGAAAGAACACTAAGCAGAGGAAGATGGAGAAGTCTGACCAGTTCTAGCACACCCACAAGCTGAAAGAGGCATCTGCTCGGGATGAGCAAATATCACGCATTTAAGGCCTGCTTTCGGGCACTGTGCAGAGAGATGAACGATGTGAAATTACTGCTCATCCTCCAGGATATGTGAAGCACATGGCTCTCGTGGGGTAGGGAATCTTTCTTGACGTCGGAAGTTCCGTGTGAAAACCAAGCTGTAATGTTCTCCTTTCTTCCATTTTTACTTGCCCCGACGAAAGATGTCAATGGCGGAGAGGCACAAGACAGCCTCCCACAACAAACCATGAGCAATGAGCTTTTCCGATCTAAACTGAAGAGGAAATCGAGAAATTTACATGTTTTTCACAGGATAAGTTTCCCCATTGGTCCTGCCGATCAAGGGTCCGCCATTAGTAAAAGCAGATTCAAAACAAATTCTTAACAGAACGCAGCGGTGTCAGGAGGATTGGGTAAAACAATCGCTCCTGCATGTAGTCACATATTCAACCCCAACCCACGCAATCCAAACAATTCTGAACCCTACGAAAGCACATTCCTGTAAACAATAATGGGAAATTTTCACTAGCCTAAAGGTTCGACCCAACATTTTCAGAAGTGCGTGATGTTCTTTTCTGAAAATGTTGGGTCGAACCTTTAGGCTAGTGAAAATTGTGTGTGATATTTCAATATTACCTCTAATGTGTTCCAAAGTTATTATTTACACACATTTAAACTTATTAGAGGTAATAATTAAATCCTTTAATTGGCTAAAATTGAGAAGCCTTGAAATATGAGTTAATCAAATGATTTAATAGTTTTGGTTTTTTATTTTTCTCCTAAGTATATAGTTCTCTTAAATATAGATTTTTATAATACCTATATATAGAAATAATAAAATATAATTAAAATATTTTTATACATTCAATAAACTTATTAGATATTTATAAACCAAAATTTATAATCACCACAACTTAGACTTTTTTCTCTATAAACTTCCTTCTTTAGTCCTTGAAATATAAATGTGACGAAATCCAATAGAATTGACAAGATAAGATTTTAATGTTGCTATAAGCTTCTCTTAATGTCAAATAGTATTTAAGAAAGTATTAAGATACAAGTTTTAAAGTAAGAAATATCAATGAGTATAATGATTAAAGAACTTACATAATGTTTATGAAAATTGTTGGCAATTATTGAAGAATAAATTAGACAAAGGTTAGTAAGGAGATGAAACCATAGCAACCATTAGAGGTGTAGGGTTGTATTTTAATTTTTCATATGGAGTATTTGAATTTCAGAAATATGTAAACCAAGTGTATCAAAGTTTATTGCATCTATAGCATTATTTACATAGAATATCACATGAAGTAGAAACTTAAGTGGAATATGATTTGAATAAGCTATCTTTCTCTTATTTTGGAAAGAAAATAACTTTAGATAAGGTATTATATAAAAGACCGACTTTAAATATGTAAATATATTCTAGTAATCTAGCACAAAAATTATTCAACAAAATTCTTTAGTATGTGAGACTTTGAATCTCATAATTAAAAACATCATGCACTTGTAATTATTATAGACAAATTTGGTTAAAAAGTTAATATAATATTTAAAACTAAATATATACTTGGTTTTCATTGAAAATATCTTTATGTCAAAAAGATCTATTCATTTGGCCTTTTTTTTTTTTTTTCTAGACTTTGGCATTGTAGGCATTTGCAAATTCAAAATCTCACACTACAAAATCAGCACAATATTTTAAATAGTTGTTCAAGCTTAATAGTCTATTTCAAAAAGTTTCTAAATAAGTTGTACTTGAATTTGCATCATTTCACGACAATCTCAATACAATTAACTTCTATCCAATAAATAAGATAAAAAAATCTTAATTAGAGAGAATATTTTTTATAAACTATATTTATAAATTAAATTAAAATAACATTAATTTTATTGGTACAAAAAAGATAAGGAATAATAAATAATTTTAGACTAGGTCTAAAAATTAAAAAAATCCATATAAAATGTAAGATTTTAACAAAATTGAAAAATTTATCAAAGAGAAGAAAGTTCTTTCAACTTGAGTTTTTTGTACACTTTTACTACTTCTAATTAATTATGATAGCTATTTTTTTGCTAAGACTACTACTTTACTACTTTGATCTAACTTAATATACTTTAATTTAATATATTCTAACTCAAAGATTTAGTTCTTAAGCAAGTAAAATATTCTTAGCTTACTTTACATTTATAGTCCAGATTTTAATCTAATTTAATTTTATTCTAATTTAATTTTATTTAATTTTAATTTTTATAGGTAAATTAAGAATTTTCAAGTTGCTTTATATTTATATTTCTAATTTTAATCTAATTCAATTTAATTCTCAGATACATCAAGTATATCCAACTTGCCTTTGTTATATTATCTAAACTGTATTGATTAAAGTTTATCTATTCTCTAAGTCTTATTAGTAAAAGTCTAATGTAAAGTTAATTGAATCGGTTAATAATAAATATATATATATATATATATATATATACAATGTTCTACTTTATATGATCTAAAAGTTTTATTACAAAATAAGAAATAAAGTGTTTATTTGATATATATATTTTTTCAACAAATCAAAATGGTACAAAATATGTGAAGAAATGTATGGAATAAAAAATTCCAAGAAAAATAAATGCTAATAATAAAATTATACTTATTATATTATTATTATCTAAATTAAAACTATTACCTAAATATAAATATATATATATATTAGAATAGATTTGATAAGATTTTTTAAGATTAGATACTAAGAAGAAACATGATATAATATTTCAATAATTAATTTTTTTTAATTTTGTAAAAGTAATTCTAAATGAATGACTTTGTAGAGTTATGAAGAAAATGTAAAGGATTCAGACACATGGAGAGAATTACACAAATATTTTATATATAACTAAAGTAATAGAAAGTATTTTATTAGGTATTTTTTTATTTTATAATTTTTTAAATAGTTTATATATATATATATATATATATATATATATATGCTAAAAGATTCATCTTCTTGCTTTGATTTTTAAAAATTAGTAAGAATTAAAAATTGCAAATCTATGTATAAAGTTCTAAGTTTCTTTAACATGGTTGGTATGCTAAAAGTTAAAGTTTATAATGTGAAGATACAATATTAATTATTAAAATTTAAGTCTACTCACAAAATTAAGAAATTTTCATAAATCATAAGATTTGTGTAAAAAATAATATCTAATTTTAAATAAAATAATATTTTTTACGAAAAATATTTTACATAGTTAATATCTGATTTCAAATATTTTAATTAAAATTTTAAAAATTATTTTAATTAAAAATAATAATTTATTATTTTTACATTAATAAGTCATTAAATTAAATGTCTACATTTAATTATTTCTTTTATCTCTCTCTCTCTCTCTCTCTCTCTCTATATATATATATATATATATAATTAATAGTAATAGTTATTATTTCTTTTATAATACATATATTTAAACTTTTATGATCTAACAAATAAAGATTAAGTTTTTTATAGCTAAAAAGACTAAAAAGAAGATTTTTGATCCAAAATATTATAAACATATATATATATATATATATATATATATATATATATATATATATATATATATATATATATATATAATACTTATTTAAGTAATAAGAATAAATAGAAGTAGGTAAAAGAAGATTAATTTTATAATATCTTTTAAAGTTGCTTCTCAAAAGCTATATACACGTAGTTTCACCATAATACATATTTATAGGTAATTTGTAGTTTATAAACTTAATAAATAAGTTAATCACATGTCACACATATTAATAACTTGTGGTATAAGCTAATAATGTGGTATACATATAGAAAACTTGCCTTGCAAGTTAAGACATGTGTCTCTCAAATTAGACACCTATTAGAGGTTCTATAGAATGTTATTATATAGCTCTTAGATAAGTAGTTATCACGGACATATACATTTATCTCAATAGTTACTTATATGATTAAATAGAAGTAGGTAAATATAGATTAATTTCATAAAGTCTTCTACAAAAGCTTCCAAGAAGCTTTATAGATGCAAACATATTATGTGTCATCTTGCTTGGGAATGCACCAAACACCTAGCTGTAGAAGGTGAGGTTGTGTTTTACAAACATCCAAGAAATCCTAATAGGTTTCATCCATATGAGAAAAATATAATCCAAATTTTGATTCAAAAGTGCTAATAAACACTCTTCTTAGTAGCCTCCTTGATACATAAACCTCAATTATCTTATTACTTTTATATTTAAGTAATTTAGATTTTTCTTGTAAGCCCTAATTTTAATCAGTGAGCTTTGATAATTTGTAACTTCTAATCTGACTATCTACTTTATGTGAAATTTTGCATGAAATTATCAATGTCAGTCTTTCAGATGCTTAATAATTCTCAGTCCAATCTATCTTATAGATTTTGAGAAAACATCCAAAAATTGTACTAATGTCACTCAAGTGCCAATCGAAAGGTGAAGAAAAAATTCTAGCAGTGATTTTTCCTTCTCCAACTATTAACTTTGGCTCAAAATTGGTTTGCAACTTGATCTTCAAGTCTTTCAATACTATGCCAAATTTTGACCTTCATCTGATTGATAGATCTCTAGATATCACAAAAATCCTATCCAATTCCAAACTGCCAATTTCTGATATGTACTTGTATCAAAACCCAAATATCTCCCAATTTCATTATTGGATTACTACAAAATTTTACATACACTTAAAAACACCTAATTATCCAAGCACTATCAAAATTTGAACTATAGATGAGAAACCAATTTTACGAACTAGCTAAGAGTACTAGCCCTAATTTCATTGCATAAATCCTAAGTTGCCAATACAAACCTTGACTTCCAACAACAATTACTAATTCTCTCCAAATTCAACCAAAACCAACCTTACATCTTTGGAACAAGCTCTAACCTAACTTTCAAATCCTAATCTTCGATATTTGAATGAAACCCTATTTTGCCCTAGGGTGTCATTTTAGTGGCCA